TACAAGCGAGTTGAGATGCAATCACTGGTCCCCGTCTCCATACACAAGAGAAGCTATTGCAGCTGTATACATTTCCGACTATCTAGTAGCACTGTATAACGTATCCCCATCCTGCCCTCAACCCCTCTACTCCTCCGTGAATTTCTGCTCACCGAAAATTCCCTCCAACGCCTCAATCTCAGTAACCTTGGTGTACCAAGCAACAATCTTGGGATGCGCGTCTCTCCACTCCTTTTTCAACCAGGACTTGAGTCCCATATCGAACGTCGCAGCGACGATCAAATCGGCAATCGAGAACTTCTCCGTCTCGGCGATCCACTGGTGCTTTTCCAGCTGCTCCTCGAGGACCGCCGCGATTCTGTCGATTCCCTTCTGTGCCGCGTCTTCGTTCTCCTGCGAGAACGGCACCAGCTTCCTCGAGTGCTTCAGCCCCGTAAGGATGTGCGGCACCATCTCGAGCTCGCCGTGGAAGATCCACTGGTTGATCTTTGCGCGCTGCTCCGGGGTGGCGCCGAGGAGCTGCTCACGGAACGGGCCCGAGTCGGCGAGGAACAGCGCGATAGCGGCGCTCTCCACCACGAACTGCGGGTGGTTGCCAGTAGTCTCGAGGGCGGGGACCTTGGCGAGAGGGAACTTGGCCACCCATACGGGGTCCTTGTTGTTGACGCCGTACTTGAACTCGGGGAGTTCGATTTCGAGGCCGTTGAGTTTGGCAGCGGCGAGGGCCTGCGGTCGGAGAAGTCAGTGGTCACGACTCACGAGAGGCAACGCACCGAGGAATGGGGGACAAACCGGGACGATACGAGGGTTTCCGGCCCAAGTGTGGAGGGATGCGAAAGGAGCCATTGTAGATGATTTGATGACGTAGAAGCGTGGTGGATGTGATGTGATGGTTGGATGTGCTGGATTGAGTGCTGTTGTTCCGTCTCCAATGCCCGACTTCGTAGACTCTTATATACCTCCCCCAACACCGCAATGACATGGAATCCAATATTCGACCCCGCAATCCCGTCCCTCCATCCCTCGTTCAGGGCGCGCGAAGTTCAGCCTTCAGTTATTCGCTTACACCTTCTCCGTTAGCAATTCCTCCTAGTTTACTTTTTCGCGCTTCACTCATGGAAAATATCCTAATATGGTAATTATGTTTTCCCAGAAAAACACCATTCAATTCCGAAACGCCAGCCAAGACCCCTGTTAGGGGTAATAATTATCGGATCGGGAGCTCATCGTACGCGAAGAGAAAGTTATGACTCTTCGTGAGTTTATGCGGCAACTTAAAATAAAAGTTAATATGTAACGGAGCCGCATGACAGGGAGGGTTAGGGTAATCCATCATCTACGTGTCACATCTGATCGGGATTCCGGGATTCCGGGACCGTGCTGAGCAACCAATGCTCACAAACGACATGCGGACCGGCACAATTGACGCCGGTAATTGCGGGCGAAGTCGCAGCGTGGGCGATGACACAGATGCTAGGGGCGCCGTCGCGCATCCCTGCATCGCATCGGACGACCGATGGCAACAACCAAATTCACCACGGCAACTTTTCGGTAGCACGAAATTTCTGACAAATCCATCTCGATCCTATCCCGATGGATATTGCCGAATGACACGGAGCTCAGTTGTTTGATCTGAGTAAATACAGGTTACGGCCGTAGGAAAATCGCTCTCGCGACAGCTACAGCTTCGCCCTGCTATCCCCGGTGTCGACGACTTCGTGCGCCGCCCTCTCCCTCAACACCTTCCGCAAGATCTTTCCAGATGGATTCTTCGGAATCTCGTCGAGGAACACGACACCACCTGTTATCCACTTGTAACGCGTGCATCGCTCCTTCACCCAGTCTTTCACATCCTCTTGTGTCAGACCGGAATTGGCAATCGGGACTACGTAAGCTCGTGGTCGCTCGTCGTTTGCACTTGGAAGAATCGTGTCAGTCGGAGGTACGAAGAGGGAGGGAGAGGAGGGGGCGAGATGGAGCATGAACTGACTAGGGAATTCCTATGACGGCTACATCGGCAATCTTTTGGTGGTCGAGCAAGACACCTTCCAACTCGGCGGGAGCGACCTGGTTTCCCTTGACCTTGATCAACTCCTAACATCTACCGTTAGCTGTTGCGGCAGGCCAGGTACCCGGATAGGTATGTGAACATGCCTTCTTGCGATCGACGATATAAAACTTCCCGATAGAGTTGTAATACGCGATGTCGCCCGTCCGCATCCACCCATCCTTTGTAAAGATCTCCGCCGTAGCCTTAGGGTTGCGGTAGTAGCCTTTGCAAACATTAGGGGCACGGACGTAGAGTTCGCCCGGGACGCCGGCGGGAAGGTCTATCGTTTCATCATTGGCATCGACAATCTACCCGGTGTTAGTGAATCTGGAAGGATTGAGCAACGGTCGGGGGGTTTGGATGCGTGTATATACTTTGGCCTCACAGTTCGCTAAAAGCTCCCCCACGGAGCCTTGATCGTCCTCTTTGTCGTCGGGGTGATGTCCAAGTATTGAGCAGGTGGTCCTGAAAGGGGAAGAGTTAGGGATTCCCCACATCCTCATAATCATCATGACCACCTGGGGATAAAACTTACTCCGTCATCCCCCACCCTTGTCTCACTCTTATATCCGCGCCATATCTCTTCAGAAACTTCCCCTCGACCTCTTTCATAACATCCTTTCCCAGCGGTGCTGCGCCAGATCCCAATGCTCTAACACTCGAAAGATCAAACTTCGACACACCCGGGTGCTTGGCGAGCGCGATCATGATGGGTGGCACCCCCGCGATCGACGTGACCTTGTACTTCTCGATGTATCCCAGGAACTCGAGGAAGTCGAATTTCTGGATCATGTATAGCGGCACGTTGAGGGCGGGGCAGATCATCACATAATATGTTTGTCCGTACTGACGGGTTCAGTGAGTGGCCAGCAGATGGGTGGTGGGGTCGGGTAGCGCAGACTTACCGCGTGGTACATCGGCAGCATTCCGATCTGGCGAGAAGGTAATTCTCGGAGAGTGGGCGAGAGGTGCCCCAAGTGTAGAACCTGGATGGTATTCGCGATCAGATTTCGGTGGGTTATCTCAACACCTTTCGGGACTCCGGTTGTGCTGCAAGGCCTATGGTTAATCCAGGTCCCATATACGAAGTTTTTATTTCTTTCTGATGCTGATCCTTACCCCGATGAATAGTTGATAGCCGCAGTCTGCTGAACATCCCCCATCGTCTGCAAGGGCTTCCAATGGAAGTCATCGCTATCACTCACAAGCTCACTCCAATGTCGCACGCCGTACAACTTCCCCGGCTCACCTGCATCCGATGTCCACCGATCGACACCGGTTCCGCCGTCCACATCGCCCAACAGCAACCCGTCGTCAAACACATACACCTTCCTTCTATCCAACCCGATTATGTCAGCCGCATCGACGGCCGTTTTGATCGATGCCGCGCTCGCGATGCAGAAAGACGCACCCGAGTCCTTCAGCTGGAATGCCAATTCTCGTGTGGTGTATATCGGGTTTGCGCCCGTGAAGACACCGCCGGCCGCGAGGATGGCGAGATATAGCGAAGGGTAGAAGACATTGTTGGCCGAGAAGGCGAGGACTCGCTGGCCGGGGAGCAATCCTGCATCCCGTAGGCCACGTGCGATCTTCTTGACGAGTCGTCGGTGCGAGTGGAGAGACAGATTGTGGGTTTCTGGCTTCTCGGCGGCGAGGTAGATGGGCGTGCGTGACAGCTCGGCGGTGGGAGAGGTGAAGAGGTAGCTACAGAGGTCGGTAACCGGGATATCGAGGGACCAACGGGAGCGGAGGCTGTAGGTGGACCGGGCGGTCAGGAAATCGGACACTGACGACATGGTGACGGATATGGAGGCGGTTGCGACGTGTGACTTGTTTCGAGCGTTTCGATCTGTGTCTCTCTCTATGTCTCTCTCTTTATCTCTCTCTGTGTCTCTTTCTCTTTCTATTTCTCTTTCTGTCTTTCTCTTTCTATTCTCTTTCTCTCTTTCTGTCTCACAGTCTCCTTCAAGACATGAATAGAACACCTCCGCTATGAAGGAAGTTTGTTTTATATGACTTTGACTTGTCTAAATCCACTCCGCTTTCGCTTACGAGGAACGGTCACATCCCCCAATCAGTCAGATCGATTGGGAACAACCCTGGATGCCGAGGCACTTGCGACGCAGATGAAAAATTCCCCACAATCATCTATGGACTTACAGCCAGCCACAGCCGAGCTGTGGGGACCGCCGTCACCACGCGAAGATCGGCTCCTCTTCCCCACGATAGGGAACTTTGATAGCTGATCTTGTGCGCGTAGGTGGGGACTCGCGCGGTTGAATACGCCTGATTGTGCGGCCGAGTGCGGTGATATACTGAGCATCGCCGTGAATCGTGATTGGCATCTTCACGACGCGCATACCGTGATATGAGACATGGCCACCGCCCCTTCCAAGCTCCAGCTTTGCCCAACGAGCACTCATGCGAAGATGCTCTAGGCACATTCCATTGGATGCAGCCCAGATCCGGGTACATACTGGAGGCGCAAGGGAATCTCACGTGCCACCCCCGCTGGTATGTAGTGGGGTGGAAACGGCTTTTCAGCAGCTAACAAACTACCGGTATGATCTATGTACTTACCAAGGTCAAACGCTACATAGATATCTACGATTGAACAAACAAAAAAGCCCAGATCCGAGAATCCAAACCCTCTATAGATGCGTCGCAACTTCTGGCTCCATGTATATATTCCATTTATCTAGTTACCCCGCAATCGACCAGGGAACACAAGCTGCCTATATCTATATACAGAGACAGAAATTCGCAGAGGCGTGCACACTGCAAACTCCGGGGCAGCATCCGGCGCCCCACTTCGCCCTCGATGGGCCTAGCGCACGGCGGCGTAGAGTACCGCTGTGCCACCAGCTCGGTTGGGGCACGAGATGCACGTCGGAGTTTCCGGAGCGAAAAGTTGCGGATATATACACAGATGTGCGTGACGAAATTGTAGGTAGATCTGTGCTTTACATGTGCGGACTGGGTACAACAAACAATCGCGCCTGGATAGACGCCTCGCTGTGCCGCTGGTGCAGGTGACTAAAGCCTTCGAGCATGCCCCGGCTCCGGGAAGGGCGGGATGGTAGTTACGTGCCCAGGCGTGGAATTCAGGCTGTAACTACAAGTTATCATTATACCAGAGCACATACCAGAGCACATAACGTGTACCCCCCACCGGTGCCAGGTTCGGGTCTGGCAGTCGAATACTCACGTAGATGGTTACCGCGTTATCTCTGGACCGGGTATATGCGGGTGCCATGGACCAGGATGCCATGGATATATAAATGGCCCGCAGTGGACGGGCTTGCGAGCAGGGCAGACGGCGGTAGGTGTGACTGAAGCCTGAATGAGTTATTCATAGCGGAGCCGGCCATGGTCATGAGGGGCACAAACGCGAGCTCCAAGTGGCATTCTCCATTGTTAACTGCCTAGGTAGCTGGCCCCGCATTGCCGGTTCAGTGTGACTACTAGTGTGCGCAGCCTCGCAAACCCGGATAGCCAGCCTACCAGTTCCTACGTGCTCAACTGCTACATGATCGGGCAAGCGAGGTAATTGATAAGGGAAGATCCCTTCCTTCGATTGTTTCGTCAACCGGTGGTGAGTTTGTGACCATGAATCGGTCATACCGGGGGATGAGTGCGGGGGGATCTGAGGGAAGGCTTGGGGTGCGCACTGCGCAGGGGCTATCAGTACTATAGCAGCTGAGGCACTCATGGCTTGCGGATGGTAGAGTACAATGAAGACTCGGGAAGCCCATCGGTTGGAAGGATGGGGTGAAACAACGGCACTCATAGACCCAATCACACGATATCACTTGCACATGATTCCCGGTCATGAATGAAGATCCAGTCATCATTTTGCATCATAAGCCAAGGAAGGTACTACAGGAAATCAATTTCATCGCGGCCATCCAGCTTTAAACGACATATAGAAAAGACAGTCTTGCAACTAAGGCTCCACGTCCACGACAGATCCTATGAAAACCGTATTCTGCGCTCCCACTTTTCCGAAGATCATCGAGAATAGTAGCGCAGAATGGCCGTATCCGCCGTGATAGCCCCCGGACGGCTAGTGGTGAGACGGCTTGGGGGTTGGCTTCGGGGTGTACTTGGTAGTGCTAGGCTTGGGGGTGGGCTTAGGGGTAGGCTTCGGGGGCTTCGGGGTGTATGTTGGCGGCTTAGGAGTAGTATGCTCCGGCGGCTTAGGGGTGACCGACGGGGGCTTAGGAGTCGGCTTCGGCGGCTTGGGGGTAACCGACGGGGGCTTAGTAGTAGGCTTCGGCGGCTTGGGCGTGTATGTCGGTGGCGTAGGCGTGGGCTTCGGGGGAGTAGGGGTAGGAAGGATCACGGTTCTAGTGACGGATCCTTGGCCATGCTCACCGTGTTGAGCCGCTGGTGCGGCCAGGGCAAGAGCGGCGAAGCCGATCGAGAGAATGACTTCGAAACGCATTGTTGGTTTACTGGTAGTGGAGTGGTCGAATAGAAGGAGTGTGGTGTTGAAGCGGAGAGAGGCTAGAGAACGTGGAATCGGGGCTGGAGTGGATGCGATCTGTTGGCTGAAGATTGAATTCTCAGTGGAGTTTACGTCCCTTTTATAAGGATTGTTCACTGATACAAAGACTCCACTTTGCATCGCAATTACGCCATCTCGCTTTCGCCGAAATCTCTAGGCTATGGCTATGAATTCTCTCCAGGAACCGAAAGCGACAATGCACCCGTAGCCGGTCGCTGTGATGGCAGAAAGTAGTTCCACCAGCCGGTTTTGATGAATATCGTGCGTTGGTATAGACAACTAGAGGATGCATCAGGCCAATATTCTCAGTGATGCAATCTACGAAATTGCTGTAACTTGTTGGATTGCCCGTCAGAAATGTTGGTTGGTTTGGGGCTCGCCGCTCGGTGCTTATTGAAAATCCATGTTGCCTCCGACGAGTGAGGTGATGAAATCGAAGAATGATTAATTCGAAGTTGGTGATGGGCAGTGCATCGCAGATTGGGTATCATACCTAAAACTTTCGGCATCGGGTGTGTATGCAAGCTGAATTTCCCCAGACCACAGAGACGGCAAAGGCAAAGGGAGAGAGAGAACAACAATGTATTGTTTCATACGGCCCGTCAAGACCATGGCGGCTAGGACAAAACGGTAGATGGCTATGGCAGTTGCCTACATCCAGCTTTCCCGAGTCAAAGTTAGGTAACAGAAACGAATGAGTGTAGCCAGTCAATTGAACTGCTACTACAAAAAACCAGATACCATAGACCGTAGCTAGACGACGAGAATCAACCCATCTTTTCTTTCCTTCCACCTCATCCTCCGAGAGCTTACAAGTTACAATACATAGGAAAATTTAAAACACAAGAACAGGTCCGCATCCAGCTCGTCACCCTACTCTTATACCTAGAGGCGAAACCATCTAGGTGGACTTGGGCTTGGGAGCACCAGAGGGCTTAGGACCAGAAGGCTTCTTTTTCGGCATTGCCCCGTGGCTGTGACCGGCGTGTCCGTCGGATGGCTTGGAGGGCTTCGGACCAGTGGGTTTCTTCGTTGGCTTTGGGCCGGTGGATTTGATCGGCTTAGAAGGCTTGAGAGAAACGACCTCATCGCGTGGGATCAATGGCTTTCCAGACGGCTTCGCGAGCAGCGTAGGCTTGATACCGGATGGCATAGGAGGTTTCGGACTGCCAGCGGAGAGCTTTACCCCGGAAGGCCTTGGGGGCATCGGGCCAGCAGGCTTAGTCGGCTTCGGGCCCGCCGGCTTTGTGAACTTCGTCGGCCTGGGGCCGTGGCTGTGGCCAGCGTGCCCGCCGGCGGGCTTAGATGGCTTGAGGCCGGTCGGCTTGGACGGCTTAGGAGGAGCAAGCTCTTCCTCGGCAGCGCGCGGAACCACTGGTTTTCCGGACGGCTTGGGGAGGCCTGATGGCCAGGCAGTGGGGAGCGCTGTGGGCTTGGGAATACCAGAGGGCCAAGCAGTCGGAAAAGCAGTCGGCTTGGGAATGTCGGAAGGCCATGCGGTCGGGAAAGCTGTGGGCTTGGAAATTCCCGAGGGCCAGGCGGTGGGGAAGCTAGATGGAAGCGCCGGAGTGGGCTTGGGGTCGTCCTGCGGTTCCGCAATCGCCACAGGCGCGGCCTGCGTCAACGCAAGGTAGGAAGTAATGAGAACAAGGAGTGAAGAACGCATGTTTGCAGTCGATGCAGTGGGGTGAAGAGATGGGAGGTAATGGGCTGGATATCTGACTCTGTCAGCTTCGCTGGTGGAAGAACAGAATTTCGATTCTTGGGCTTCTCGTGGGGGTTTTATACATGACTTTGGCCATTGTATCGTGATCGCGTTATACTCACAAAGTCTTTGTCTATCATGGGCCATGGTACCATCGCCATGATAGTGAAATTTCTGCGATGACGAGGATCATCAAGCTCAATCGACAGAGATCCAACTTCTACCGAGGAGAGGTTTGCGGATGAGCGGAGCATCCGTAGGCATTGGGATGGACTCGTTAAGATGAACTTCTATGGGGATCATCTCCTACCGTTCGAAAAACGTTCGTCCAGGAAACGCGTGCGCCGCATCTGCTACTTCTCGGCCCGCAGGCTGACGGCTGCATTCAAGACAGGTTGTTAGGAAATCCTCACGATATATCTGATACCGCATCCATAAGAGCAAGATTCTGGACGTATGTAGAAAGATACTCGCTTCCAGGTTGTTCCTGCTACGGTACTTCGGTAGCTTACCATAGTCCGGCACGAATGCAGGTACACCGTACTGGCCTGGCCTTGCCCCAGCTCGGCACGTACATACAGATGGTTACAGCGATTGAGAGCCACCAGCCATCTAATTCTCCGTTTGTAGTGTCATAGGTATTTGATTCCAGTTCTTTCAACGATACGAAGATGATGCCACGAAAGGAACCCGCGTCAGCCACCACCGCCTCCGACTACGCGAGCGCGTACATAACCCGGACATTGCACGGGCGTCGCCCAACTGCAAACCAGGACAATATAGGTACTCTATCATTGGCATGGGTAGTTACATGTGCAATGTTTTACACAGATTAAAGACCGAGGAGATCTTCGTATGTAGGCGGTGCTAACAATCAATCACCACAACCAATGCGATTGTGATCTCGTCAATGACTTGCAATTGATGAAGCTGACGACGACGATTACTCTATTATGCGGCTCGGGAGTCGGGAGGAAAACCTGCACTCGGTTGTCGGTAATTTGTAAATTGACCACGGGCTCACAGACTCACGGCGGAGTTGAGATCTCGCGGAATTACCGTAGATTGACGATGATGTAGTTTGCCGATTGTACTAAGGACGGCCTTTCGGCTCGGATCAGCTCTTGTAAGGCTATTGACGTCAATGAATGGGCAACGCCAGCAGCGTCGCCTAAGCAGCAGCGTCCAGGGTGAATGGGAACTGAGAAATCCTCGTGGGTCGTGCGGTCTTGCCACTATGATCTCGTAAGAAACCTGACGTCTTTTCCTACCAAGGACCTCTTACCATTGTAGTCTGCTTCTAGTAGGTAGATTGGATTGGCAGCGTCTACGATCCTTGCTTTATCCACCGAGATTCCCCTAGCATAGGTAGCTAAATTTCAGTTGAGCACATTTTTGAAAACAGAAAAGCCGAGGCTCATGCAATTACGATTTCCCCTCTCGATAGAGTGGAAACTATGTAGATTAGAGTGTGAAGGGTAGGCATCGAGTGATGGTTGGTGATGACGTTGAGTTATCGACATCGTCCAGCTCGTGTGCATCATCGTCGTTCGTGTAAAAACCACCACCTTGAAACTTTCGGCCCCCACGGTCATGGTGAATACTGCTATTGATTTAAATCATCAACCGTAAACATGAAATCCACTCGCTATTCGGCCGCCGGAAAAAAAAAGTACATACAAATAATCAAGAAAAGGCAATATATACAGCAAAGACACCCCCGTCTCCCTTCACCCCATCCAATCCCGCCTACAACTTCATTTCCCACTTCTCATAATTGACCCACTCGACCCACAGCAGGCGCCTCCAGTACTCCGCCAACCGCCACGGAAAATTCGTGGTAACAACACCCTGGGAGTTCTTATAGAAACTGGTACATCTCTGATCGTTGAGCGCGAGCGACTTGAGTTTCTCCTGCATCTCGACGTTGTACTTCCGCTCGCGCTCCTCCTTGACTGCGAAGGCAACGCGGTTACCGCGCCGCGCTTCAGAGAAAATCCGTTGGCACACTTTGACGTTCCATAGCGACTCCGTCTCGAACATGAAGGTAAGACTGCCCCACAAAAGACCGGTGGCCGGACCGTAGACGAAGAGGAAGTTTGGGAAGTTGTGCGTGCTGGTGCCGAGGTAGGCGGATGCGTGTTCGCTGGGGAAAGGTTAGTTATCTATGAATCATGATCGGAGTGCGGGAAAACAAACCCCCATTGGCTTCTGAGCGAGACGCCCTGGTGGCCGCGGATATCGACATGGCCCAGCATATCCTGTGTCAGGAATCCAGTAGCCCAGATGATGACATCGATCTTGTCCTCGCCCTCTGCGGTGATGATCGAGTCCGCGGTGATCTTCAGCGGCGCCGAGGTGGTCAACGTGACATTATCGCGGAGGAACGCCGGGTAGTAGTTATCCAAGAACAGCGGCCGCTTGCAACCGAATGCGTAGTTCGGCGTGAGCTTCTCCCTCAGATCCTGTCGCTGCGGCGGGATCTGTGACTCCATGTGCATCTTCGCCCCCAGGGTGGCGAGCTCGTTCTCCTTGCTGGGGAGGTGGACGGAGCGGTACGGCATTAATTCCTGGTCGATGTAGAGGTACAGGTGGTGGAACCACTGCACGAGCGGCACCCAGCGGAAGATGGCCTTCATCATCGTCGAGAACTGGTAGTCCTGTCGCGGGAGGATGTGGGGTGGGGAGCGCTGGTAGACGTGTAATGACTCTACCTGCGGGGCGATGGAGGGGACGACCTGCCCCGCGCTGGGGCCCGTGCCGATGATCGCTACGCGCTTGCCCGTCAGGTCGACGCTGTGGTCCCATTCGGCGGTGTGGAATTGCGGGCCGGTGAATGACTCGGCGCCGGGGATCCGCGCGCGTTTAGGGCGGTTCAGTTGCCCGATGGCAGAGATCACCACGGGGGCGGTGTAGTAGTGCATTTCGCCGGTTGCTTCGTTGCGGACGCCGACATTCCAGAGGAGGGTGGCGTCGTCCCAAATCGCCGAGACGACGCTGTGGCCGAACGCGGCGGACTTGTGGAGGTTGTAGTACCGTGCGACTCGGTCGTAGTATTCACGGATTTCGTCCTGCGGCGAGTATCTCCGAGACCAATCTAACAAACGTTGAGCCTAATCAGCAGCCGCAAGAGTGATCACGGATGAAGGAATCTCAATCGGAACGTACTATGGTTAGGAAACCACGAGATGCTGTAGATATGCGAGACAATATCACATGCAGCGCCGGGATACGTATTGGCGTACCACACACCGCCGAATCCGCCGGACTTGTCGAACATGATCAGCTCCTCCGCCGGGTTCCTGAGAACCTTCTTGCGGTGGATTTCGGCCCCCTGAATGATGCCGGATATTCCGGCGCCGATGATGACAATCGACTTTTTCGTAGGGTTCGTCGCATCGGTCGACATGATGGGCGGCTGCAAGCAAGCAAGCTGTATGAGTGACCAGTGGGAAGGGGAAGAAAAAGGAACCGTGGATGCAATGCGGGCAGACAGGAAATGCAAGTGCTCGAGTCGAGGAATCCAAAGCACAAAAGAGACCCTTTTAACCAACGGCCAGCCATTGCATTTGTCCGCCTGCACGCCATTACAGTAGGCACTCGCACGCTATCCAGGCAGGTCCATATGCCTTTCCATCTCTCTTCCCGCGCCGTCTATGGTATATCCGCACACTCCGTCGCGTCGGTGTTCGGTTGTGATTGGAAGGGCAAAAATCTCCCACCCCCCCCTTGGATAAAGTGGCTACGGCGTGTGGAGGCGGCGTGGATTGTGGGGAAGCCCTGTGGATCCCGAGAAGCCGAGATTGCTAGCCGTGTGTCGTTAGCTGAGTTAACGCCGCCAATAGTGACATGGCATAGGTGAGTTTAGTGCCGATGGTGGAGAAGATGGAGATGGATGCCCGCCTAGGTCACGCTACATGTGTACTGGTACTCGCTGTGGGCCCTTTCTGACGGGCGATGCGGGATAGGAATCGGTGGGAAGAGGACATCTGCTCGAGTCTGTGCCTAGTTTGTGGCGGGGAGGTTAGGAATTCCCGGATCCGTCGTAACGCCACCTGCACCCCACAGATTTTCTACGGCGGGTACGAATCGCCTTCGTAGAGTACCGGCATCTAAGTCATGACTTGGAACCGAGCTTGATAACCGACCTAACGGTGAACCCGCACCAGGGCTGTGGTTTCGGTGATGTATAGTGGACCAGTACCAACTGGCCAGTTGTTTAATTGAAAGCTTATCATTCCTTCCGAATGAGGCAGGCAAAGTATAAAAGTCTACTCAGAATGGGGTACCAAAACGTATGATGTGGTGTTGTGTGTGGAGAATCAAAATCCTAATTTTTCGCCATGTCCCAACACAACTGTATAGTACTGTACGGTATGGCTCAACCTTATGTGCCCCTCGCCTGTCTCGATAGAGCACAGTGGACACTAAAGGGATTGCGGAGATGCGCGGCAAAGAGGTATTTATTACATGGCGGAAAAAAAAGTGAAGGAGCGCGATTATCAAGCACAGGCAGAAAAAGCAAACATACATAGTCACGGGCCCAAATAACCAGACCAACGGCACACAATCGACAGATAAAGAAAGCCCCACTCCACCCCCAACCCCCCAATCTCGTCTCATGTAGCCCCTCCACCCATCTCCCCGAAAACGCCGAAACACCAATACCCCACCGACCCACTAGACTCCACCCGATCGCTACTTTAACGATTGTGTGTCTTGAAGTGATCACCCGTGGCAACAATCGCGTCCGCCATCATGGCACTCGACAGTGCGTCCATGCCCGCATACCAGGCGCCCATCCTCGGCGAGCCTTCCCACAGCTCCGACAACGTCACCCAGTCGCCCTTACAGCGACCCTCCCAGCCCGGGAAGCACCGGATATTCTCCATCTCCTCGTCCCACTCCTCCGCTGTATCGGCTTCCCACACCTTTCGTGCTGCCGGAAGCAGCACCGCACCGAGGCCGTCACATAGCAGCGGCGACAGTCCGTTGCGATAATGGAAGAGCCGATCGAGTAGGAACACGGTGATGAAGGTGCGTCGCTTACTCTCGATAAACAACCACGTATCCCAACTACTGGCGGTATCGGGCAACGGACCAGTCTCGGGGACGAAAAGCCCACCGAACCCGACCCTTGCCGCGCATGTCTCCAATCCGTGTACATCTTTCATGTCCATGTCGTTGTCGAACAGTCGCAACAGCCCGAGGGTCACCAGCGCTTGGAAATTCTCAAGGAGCGGCCAGCCTTCTTCGCCGACGTGGTTGATGATGGATTTCTCTAGACGGCCCCACTCGGCAAGGATCATGGACGAAACAAATGTCTTGTTCTCGGCAGATTTGACGGATGTCATGTGGACGAGGGCTGTGACGTTTGCAAGGGGCTCGGCCCGCTTGCCGGGGAGCAGACGTCGTCGGTGGATGAACGGAGGGGCTGTTGTTGGCTTCTTGAGCAGTCCCGGGAATGAGGCGAGGAGGCGGGTAACGAGCTCGACTTGGGGATATGCGTTCGACGGAAGCGTAGGCTGTCGTGTGATGAGGGAGTTCTGATCTGACGCCTGAGAGCTATGCGAGAGGCCGACGAGTCCAAAGTCGCACGAGGAGTCCGGCGAGGCAGAGGAGGACGAGTGCCCCATCGTCATTGTTGGAGTGTTGATCTGTAGAGAATGACTGGGAGATGTGCTGAAATCATTTGGGCTTGGTTGTCGTCGGATCAGCTGTTGCGCTTGAGATTGCGCAGGACACGCATCACCCCATCCAAACATATCTCCGTTCATACACGTATTCATATCAACGTCTCCCAATAGCATCGGATCTGTGAATCCTAGATCGATATGGTGATCATTATCGGGCGACGAGTGCTGTAACGACGCGTGCTGTTGGTGTTGGTGTTGCTGCTGCTGCTGTTGTTGTTCCTGTGGAGTCTGTTGGTATGCATACTCGCAACCTCCAAGACTCTTGCTTCGGCAGCGGGTGCATTGTGGTCGTCGCTGGTCGCACCGCGCCTTTGAGCTCGCGCAGTGGTTGCAGCTCTTCTTTCGCGGAATCACGTCTTCCGGTCGCTTCTTGCGACATCGTCTCGTATGGCGGTCGCGCGATGTTCCTACGCATCGCGACTCCGATTAGCGCCACTGCAAGGACTGGAGGGGGAGATAGGCGGATCTGATTATTCCAACATACGCTTTTCGAAATTCTTTGAGCAGACAGTGCAAGTGAACACTTCGGTGGCTGCGCCAGAGGTCGGAGGGGAAGCCGACGAGGACGGCGAGGTAGAAGTCGGGCCGGTTTCTGCAGCGCCGGCGCTGAGAGGTGGCGACCGGGGAAGACCGCCATTCGTGTGCTGGTCATACACCGCGGCAGCGGCAGCCATAGATAAGTCGGTGCGGTAGCTGAAGCTCGAACTCGCACGCTGAGCAGTAGCAGCAGACTGCACTACGAGAACCATAATTCACACGCGATATCAGATATGTTTGGGCGGCTCGCAGGTACCGTTAGCTGCGACGGATTTTGTTTGCGCCGGTGTAGGTAGATACAAGAGGTATCGGAGTCCCTTTGCTGTTCTGTTTCGTGCGGTTCGAGCTGGGTGGGAAATGGAGATGGCGAACATGCGCGGGAAGAAGGGGGGAGAGACATGACACCGGAACTCCGGTGACATGGTGCGCACGTCGTTTGTAATTCCCAGAGTGGCTTGCGTAAGCAGAATATGGAGACCGGAGGAAAATCATGGACGCTGGAGGTAGGGGCAGGGCAACCCGGACTCTTTGAGGAAAGGTGGCGAGAGTGGATACGGCAACGTCGATCGATGAAGGTGGGGGTGGGGCGAGGGGGCGGCTTGCTAGAGCAATCACATCGGTTGCCTACGCGAGACTTACAGTTGCATATAATCTCACTCGCTATGAAGGTCCGATCACGTCTGACCATTGCAGAACTGACAGGAAACGGCGGATTTCTGGAAGCCATAGTCTAGTATATAAGGCGGGAGGCGACAATACTATAAACTGATGTCCACTCTCTCTCCCGACTGACCACTATCGTTGTGCGTCGTGGATGCCCAGGCAGAAGATGGGAGAACTGGGTCGCTGCCTCACGCTGGTTATCCCAGGCGGCAAAAACATAATAGATACCCTCACAGTGCGTCTCACGCCGTAGTCTAGGCTAGGACAGGCTGTCTGCGGGTAATTAAGACATAACTCCACCACCCCCTGACTGGCTGCCCATGGATAGGTACTTACCGGGGTGAATGGGCTCCTTCATCTCGTGAAAGAAGCCCACATGGAATGGCAGTGTTGCCTCACATCAAAAAACTGCGTGATGGATGGGAGGGCCATCTCTGTCGAATCAGTATCATTCATTGTATAGTAGAATAGGTACCCATTGCTAAGTACACATGGTATATTCCCCCGCGTCATCTAATAACCAACCCTTCCATCTATGTATGTAGTATGTATGCAAGCCAAACAGTCCAAGAGAAAGAAAGGAAAAAAAGAGTGCATCTACATCCTCCTCCCACGTCCACCCCTCTCATCGGCCTCATTCCTTCTCCACTCTCTCAGCGCCTTGGTTCCCTGCCAACCTTCACCGCCTTCACACCTCTTCTCCCATCCGCCGAGTCGAATCACCAGGGCGGTGGCATTATCCCCGACCTCACCAACTTCATCCACAAACTCGACCAGATCCCGTGCCGCCTCTTCGGGGGTACTGCACTCCTTAACGATATCGACAATCTCCTGATCACCGAGAACAGCACTTATCCCGTCGCTGACCAGCACGGCGAACGCGTACTCTCCCGGTGCGAGCCGCCGCGCGTTGATGTCTGGCTCGGCCGTGACGCCGAGGCGCTTCTGGCCAACGTCCCCGACAGCACGGGTGTTGGCGAGGATCCCGAAACGCTCTTCGCCGAAGGCGTCCGAGACGAAGGCGGTTGCGTAACGACGAAGACGCGCGGACTCCGAAGGGGAGGACGGGTGATGGTTGGTGGTTAACGGGGAAGCCAGGCCGTCGGACACTCGGCAAAGCAAGGCGCGGGTGTCGCCTAGGTGCGCGGTCACTATTGTTGATGTTTGTGATGGGTGCCAGTAGGGCTGCGAAGTACTAATCGCCGAGTTAGTTACTCTATCACATCGCGACAAGTGTATGCGTGAGGGGGTCACGACTCACAAGGGGGACAGCAACACAATACTGGCGGTTGAACCGCCCTTGAACTTCGTCATCTTCTCTCCGGGTGGTGGGGCGGGAGTCTGCGAGCCTTCCTCGGCGGGCAAAAACCACGGCCTCGTCCCAGTGATGAAGTCATGATCCGCACGCAAAAATGCATACATGAGCACAGCCTCAATCCCTCCATCACCGTCTCTAAATCCACAGCCGCGCAAGCCGCCAAAGTCGGGCTTGAACCGCCGGAAATAACCTCCCACATCTTTCCACGTGTTCACGAGATCCATCTGCATTTCTGCGCGCTTTTCACGCCCGGCTCGTTGCTCGTCGGTCTCCTCGGCCCGACTCGGCCGGGGTTCTTCGGGAAGAACTGCGCTACGAATTTTATTCGAGGGATTGAATAGTTTAGAAGACTCCTCGATATACCGGTGCAGATAGTCCTTGAGGAATACACTGGCCGCATCCCCGCCGTGGCCGTCGAACACTGCATAGTAGAATACACTTGGCTCGTGTCCTGGCACTACACCAACCGGCCTGGGATCGGTGTCCCTCACCTGCGAGAAAGGCGGGATCTCTATGACACCGGCTTGGTAATTATCCTCGTTTTGCGGACGTGTTCCCCGTGCCCGGGTGGCGCCGAAGTGATGCTTTGCGGAGCGAAGTGGAATCCGTACGGTCGTTGTGGCGCGGTCATTTTCGCCATCCTTGCCACCCTCCTGGCCCGGCCTGCGCACGCGTCAGTTTCCCATCGTGCCTGATTTACGGAGACGAGGGACTACACTCACTTCTTGGTTTTTGGCGGTGGAGGGTCAGGATGTAAGGAGCTCCCAGGAAGATAGGCCGTAAAGTAATCTCGGAAACCACGACGCTGCTCAGTCCCGAACTGCGCCTGTTTGCCAATACTTTCTCCGACCCATGCACCGGAAAGAAGACCGTTGCCATATATTGACGGTATTCTATCCGATACTATGCATTCCCGATGCATGCCACTGCCATGCTGGAAATTCGATACTCGGGCCGGCGACAAAGCCGATATGCGAGACGACACCGATGGATCACCGGCCCGGTACAAACACTCCGGGACGACATTGTGACGGTGATCTCTTGCACTCCCGCCGTCGAGCTGCGAGGTACTCGAGTGACTCAGAGTCGCAGTGATTCGTAATGCATCGATATCTGCCGAGGGCGGCGGTGAGCGGAGGTATTCTCTGGCTCCCCTGTCATTTGTAGACGAGAAAAAGCGCGATATGTAGACTACACGTTGCACGACAGCATTAGTATGAATCTGTGATGGACGTAAACTCCAAGTAAGGCAGTGTGTGCAAGGCTGAGGAGATAGATACGAGTGACGCAACAGGAAGTGATAAGAGGAACGCAATAGGAAGTGTTAAGAGGCGCGCAAGCGACCCTGCCTGTGGAGCGCGGATGCAGACTACGTGCGGGGGGTTGAATCTCCGCAGAGCTCTGGAAGGGAAGGTGGTAAGCCAGTCAACCAGGGGGAGCAGCGCTTGCTTATGCGTGCTGATACCGGAGCGGTCATAGCAACAGGTTTTGGCACCTGCGTGAGAGGGAATACTCGTATCATGAATGGCTCGGGTAAATGATGCTCCGAGTGCGACGATCATATCTCATGCATTGTTCAACGGTGGCACAGTGCGAGGGAGGGTGGTGTGATGGATCCAGAACGGATAAATATGAATCCGGAGCCGTGATGGCAATGTGGCGATTGATAGGCCATGATGCAGGAAGAGGCAGCGGAGGGAGAGGGGGGGGGGATAGAAGCTTCGGAAGGAGAGGCAAAACAAGAAAGTCCGGGGGGCCCGGTACCTCTGTGTATACGACAGACGATGCTCCATGCCATGCTCCGTGTGGTATGTGGTGTGGGGTGTGGTGTGGGGTGTATGGTGGGGTGTGGGGCGTGACCTACAATACGTATCGGGGAGTCCCCAGGAAGTAATTGGCTCGTCGCCTCTCAGCTGGCGGTGGTGGCGATGATGACCTGCTGCCGCTGCTGTTCCTCCTCTTCTCCAAAACCCCACAGTTGTCGCTGCTGTTGCGGGGCTCGCCATTCGCAGCCGATGAAGAGACTGATGGCGGGACATGCAGGGCGCACTGGAGGGGTTTCCGAAGCAACCCTTGCAGCTTGCAGCTCTGCACCGTGCGGGAGTGCGTCCGTTCCGTCTCGGTTTCTCGAGTTGGGTGGTGGTGGGTATCGAAAGTTACAGCGGCAGTACGACGGGAGATGCGATTGATCGGGAGAACAGTTCGCCGGTGTCTTGTTTTTCGTAGGTGCCGGATCACTACTGGTGATGTTTCGCTGCGTATTGCGCCGAGCCCAGGGGTTACTGTCGGATTCGCACGAAACGGGGATGCCGAGCGTGTGTCGCCGTCGTATGGTTCCGGGTACGGATAGGTACCCAACGCTCTGCCGATCTTCCTCCGCTGTGCCGTGTTATACGATTGAAGGTATTCTCTCGTTTCTCGGGCGACAATCCAATCCCAATCCGAAGCAAACAAAGCGGCCACTAAGAAGTTACTATCAACTTTTCGATACTTGCGACGTCAGTTTTCGTGTGCGGGACAGAGCGGTGACAGTCAGTCACCGTATCGTATCCTCTCCCCATTGCATCGCGACCTCGGGGTCGCCGCGGGTCGCCACAGGTCGCCCGGGTCCCTCCCACAGAACGACAGCAAGCCAAAGTAGGTATAAGGTAACGGTACATTACGGTCGGCATCCCCAAAATTCAATTGGCGTTTCCTGATTGAGCCTCACTGCCGTCGGGTCGTCTGGTCCGATTGCTGGTCTGCTGTGTCGGCCGTGCCGTGTCTCGTCGCGCGCGCGTCGCAATCGAGGGATGAGATAGGTAGATGGAGGACAGATGGCGGTCCGTACGGTACTGTACGGTGCAGTGTATGGTATGGTGGGGGGCGGATCAATCGCGTGCGCAAGAAACGGATCAAAGCCGTCCAGGTGTCATGGATTACGGATCGATACGTAGGCGGCTGAAGGGGGGGATCGACACGAGTCGTGGGCGGTCTCTATGGTAAATTACCTGCACCAATCACGACCTCGATGTTCAACCGAGCAAGAAGAGAGATGGAGATGTCGGTCTCGCAAAGCGGACCCTTCCGCGGCTGTGTCGGGAGCTGGAGCGGGGGTTGGGGCTGGAGCGGGGTGGCGGGGGGACGCGGGGGGACCTGTGAAGATGCGGAGAAAAGAGTTGTACTCTAGATGGAGGCCCCGAGATAACTACCGATCGTGGGATGGGAAAGAGTCGGCCTTCAACCGGGTTGCGCGTCAACTGTACCCGAGAAATGTACCGTCCTTCCTTTCTCCTCGAGTTCTTCTCGATATTCGGCAGAATTTTCTTTCCTTCTATTCTGTTTTTCTTCTTTTCCGCCTCGCGTTCCGGCGGAGGATCCCGACTTCGCTAGGCTGAAGATCAGGCGAGAAGTGTGACTGCTTCGCCACTGACGCCACATGCTTGTGCCACCAGGGCAGAGCGTTATGCAACATCACCCGCCCAGAGCAATTGCAGGCCAGAACAAAAACGTGGATACATGTTCGTCCGGCAATCGCGATCGATGGGGACGCAACGACGATTGAACGAGAGAAAAAATAATGAGTGTGAAAATCTCGCGAGAAGACAATTATCCATGTATGTGTAAATTTTAATGGCTACTTTCAGTTCGCGAGAAAAGAATTATGTACATTCAATGGCCACTTTCAGTATGTACAAAGGTACGCACGGAAAGAACTCCTCCTACGTATCTACAGGCTACCTATAATATCGGGAATCACTATACGGCCAAAGACGCAATAACTCCCACTCCCACCGCTCGATTACGAACCTATCGTCAAAGCCGCCTCCCTAACGAGTGCCCAATTTTACGAACAATAGGGGTGCTGTGTGGCGGCATATGGTATTTCCGGCAGGTTGACCGTTGTGCCTACCAAGTTACCAACAGCCAGCCAGCCAGCCAGCCAGCCAGCCAAGCCCCCCCTCGCTCCTCCGCGCTCGTGTCCGACCAAACTACCTCACATTGCCCCTCGCTCCTATGGGACCGATACGGTAGCATGGAAAGGGGAGGACCAGTCGCTATTCGCCACCGACCGCAGACGCCGCCGCTGCTCCTCCGCCGCTTCTCGTTCGAGGTGGTTGTGTACGGTACGCGCGCCAAGCTCAAGCGCAGGCTGCACTGATCACGGAGGTTGTACATACATACCGAGGTAGGTACACTTGTGTCCCCATCATCATCATCGACATCATCATCATCGGCAGGAAGGCTACCAATCCGCAGCTGAGCTGAGCCAATTACCGTATCTCAGCCCCGTCTTTCTACTCCTCCTCCTCCTGATTCTGCTCCTACGGATCCGACCTATCAGGGTTCGCACACGGAATCACCGAATACATATCTGTACCACATGGCAGAGCCAAGAAGCACAGTACCGTACAACAGTACAACAGTGAGTCGGTTCGATTCGAGCGCTATACATACACATCTACACATCTACGCACCTCGGAATAAATAAAAATACATATGTCATGGCTCATACAGTACAGGCTGTTGACCGTACAGTCATTGGATACCGACGACCGTACTACTGTGTTGCAGTGGCTGGTATGTAGATTCTCTTATGTAGCAAAGCACAGCCCCAGCGAATACGAACCGAGCCCGCCTACTAACTGCACGCAGAAATGGCCCATTCATCCCATCGCATCGGAATGCATCCCTCTCTTGTGGTCCATTGGGCGGGGAGAGGCTTTCTAGAAACGCCTTCGACGTCACGGACATATATATGCACGGTAGTTAGCCTGTAGCCTGTAGGTATATATGTAGGTTGGTAGTCGAGTGTTTCAAGGGGTTATCTATCTGGATTCTAAGTATGTAGGTACAGTACGTATCTCTACTCTAACTACTATGTTAAGAACCGAAGGGTGTGCACCGTGGGGGTGGGGGCTGCCCCTGCCCGTTAACCAGCCAGGCAGCCAGGCAGCTGTCAGCCAGCCAATAGGAGAAATTGCGCGACAAGCGGCCACGGTATGTAGAGTAATACCGTACATGGCAGCGACGTCTAGAACGTTCAAACTCACCGACGACTATCTACGGTAGTTGCCGTACATATGACCGGCGGTGTTCTGGTCCTCCTCTGTTCGCTATCGTCGGAGGTAGTTGGATTAGTTGGAGTACATACGGTAGGTATTCTGACACGGCGCATGTGGGTACAATAATAGACCGCCGCTGACGGGTAAGTGTTTTCCCTCCCCACCCCCCGGCTCCCGATCCCCGCCCCCAGGCACACGCCGGACCCCGGGGTTCCAGTGCTCCCGTCGGCTTCGGATCGCCCTAGTTGGGTACTAGGAAACACGGAGGGTACCGGCGCCTTCCCGGAGAATTGTTTCTAAGTGGGCAGTGAGCACGGACGGGTACCTTAGGTACCGATGTGATATTAATGCGGGTGATCGCCAGCAGCCGGCTGAGGCGAGGCGAGGCGCATCATAGGTTATACGCACGTACATACGTACCTATTCTCGGGGAATGTCAATCCTCTCCCCTCCCCTCCCCAGCGGAGAAAAACAAATAAGGCGTGCATACATACCGTACACATCGTATTTCGCGATTCAACCCGGCGGGGGTTTCTAAAGAAATAGTAACATCTAAAACCATCTATCGGGTTCGCAACTCGCGACTCGCGACTCGGACTCGCACGACGCCACGGCGCCCAATAATTGAGCAAATCTCCGTCTGCGTCTGCGTTTACGAGTGCAGAAAGAAAAGAAAAAAGAAAACTACAGGGTGGGGCGGGGTGGGGTGGGGCGATGACATCGGATTGAAGGAAGGAAGGGATCTCCATGCCTTGCTTATAGTACTTTCTACAGAGTAAGAAGTTTCTACCGCATTCGTTTCCTGTTCATATACTTGCTATCCCCGCTCACCTCGCCGCCTTACCGCCTGGGGCAGAAAGGTAAGAAAAGAAAAAAAACAAACAAACAAAAAAGGTGCCCTTCAAACCCCGTATCCCGCAGCCAGCCCAACCACCCGCACGGAAGAAGAAAATTCCACAGAATAGGTAGCAAAAAACAGGCAGTTAGAAATCCACCAGCTTCCAGCACACAGTACACACAACAAGCTCTCGTCAATCCTCGGTAGCTACGCCTAGATCTAGGTGTCAGAGTACATGTACAGTACGTAACGTACAGTACACACACATAGACATAGCTACAGTGACGATCATCATCCCTGAACCATGTGAAGAATCATGGATAGGTTGATGCTCGTCACTCGTGTACTCTACGTACCTAGAATATTTCACATGTATATTGAGATATACTCTACACATATACGGGACCAGGGGCCTATGTAGAGTGACATCTCGGCCAATTGGCAGGCCCAAAGCAGTGCGGCCTTGGGGCTCCGGGCCACTAAGTAAATTAGCAAGTAGATGGGGCGCGGGGGAGTGGCGGGGGTGGAGGGGGACGGTGATCAATCGCGGTGGCCCATCCATGAGCAACGGTGAAAAGACAAGACTGCTGCCTTGCCAGCGAGCCCTGGCCTTACAAACTCTACATACCACTGCCCGCCTACTACTGCCTACACTGCTGCACCTGAAACCCTGCGTATGGCGTACGCCGTATGGCACAGTAATATTTTCGATTCTCGAATCGCGCACACAAGTGTAAGAGCTGGATTTGATCTGATGGATACTGTACTACAAGGCTTGCGGCTGTGGCTGGCATGTTTGCCTAGTAGTAGGTTGTGGAGTTGGTGGGTGAGGATCATATTTTCGCACTCGGGCCTGGCCCGGCTTCCGGGAGAGGACTCTTTTGCGTGTGGGGGACGGGGGCGTCGACTAAGTGGCTTGGCTGCGCCACGTGCACTTCTTATTTCGAGTAGGAACTTGGCGGAAGCACATGTATGTACGCACCTTGCCCTCGCGCAGCCACCGAGCTGAGAAGCTGTCTACAGCGCATGTACGCACGTACGTTCGGGACGTCGGCGGACGAGAGGAATCACGTGCTGAACTGAGTTGAGTGAGTAGTATGTAGTACATACCGCGAGTCAGTACCACCTCGCACACTCGCACCCTCGCTATCTCGCACTCTGTCCCTCCGTCCTCGCCGCTTTCGATATTATACCGTACTGTATCATAGCCTGCCCGCCAATATACTGCCCATACGCATGCAGGGTATATCCTCCCATCT